TGAAGAAGAAGAGAGTCGTGTTTGCCGACACGAAGGGGCTCTCGCTGACGGCCGTCCGCTTCTTCTCAAAGATTGAGGAGGACCTCTGTGACTTGCAGCATGCCCTGTCTGACCTCGCCTGCTTCCGACCTAGGCTGTGGGACTCACGCCCAGAAGCGTGCAGGTATGTGCTGGACTTCCCACAGCCCTCTGCGGACTACGTGACTTTCCGCAGCCGCCTACACAGCAACCTTGTCTGCCTGGAGAACTGCCTGATCCAGGACCGTGCCCTGTCAGGGACAGTGAAGGTCAGAAACATTGAGTACGAGAAGAAAGTGATGGTCCGCATCAGCTTCGATGGCTGGAAGAGCTTCCGGGACATCTCCTGCCAGTACATGCATAGCACGTACGGCTCGGCCGACACAGACATCTTCTCTTTTGAGCTTGCCCTGCCCAAGCCATCCGTCTCCCGCAGGCCCACAGAGTTCTGCATCTCCTTCCAGTGCGGACAGAAGACCCACTGGGACAACAACCACGGGAGAAACTACAAGATTTGCCATGTGGGCATGATCCGCCCTCCCTCCCATGCCGTGAAGGGTGCCACTGGGGCCTGGGAGCATCTTGGCACCTCTCGGGCTGCCGCCCTGGTCCTTTCTCACCTGCAGACCTGGCGGCGCTCAGAGACCCAGGCTCCTTATTGGTAGGAAGGCAGTGTGCGGGGAGGTGTAGGTCCCATGTCCCGACTACGGTACAAGGGTCTTTGGGGAGGGGTCAGCCGCAGAAGATGCTGTTCACGGTTTCGTTAGCTCCTCCGTGTGTCTGGCCTGCTGCTGTACAAGCAGCTGCCGCTCTCCACGGAAGCTTCTTCGCTGCTGGCTCCTGCCGTACAGGCTGGAAGCCTCTGCTTGGCATAACTCCTGCCCGTAGGTTCTCGAGGCAACGCTATTGCGAGAGTAGGGGAGTGATGAAGGGACGGCTGCGGCCCGCTGCCGTGTCCGTCGGCCGCTTCGGGTGGGAGCCAGCCCTGTGAGCCGCGGGGGTCCCGGTGCTGCCCAAGTGCCTTGGTGGGGTCTCGGCAGAGCTGCCGCTCCCGGGCTGCGGCAGCAGCCGCCAGCGGGGCCTGCTGCCCTGGGGGCGGTCCCGAGGAGGGCTCGCCGCGGGGGTGACCGAGCGCGCAGGCCACCGGGCGGGGCCGCCTCCGGTCGTTGTTGCTGTAACGGGGAGTTAATAAAGTGACGGCGCTTCGCGAGTCTTGGCTTTGCCGCCGCCGCCGGGCGGCAACGCGAAGCTGCGGCCCAAGAGGCAGCCGGAGGGGGATGCGATCGCTGTGCCCGCCGGGGCCGCGGCTTCGGTTTCTTCGGCCCTGGGGCGTCGGCAGCGTCGTCCTGGCGTGAGCCCCGGAGGTTGTAGCCAGCAGGCAGGGCTGCCTACGCTCGCCCGGCGGTCATCGCACGTGGGTGCCGGCCACGCGTGTGCTGCCCGGTGCGTGGCCTGCCCTGACGGGCCACAGCCGGGTGACACGGTGAAGGAATGCAATAACTGAGCCCCTCTTAGGGCAGGGGCTGCCAGCTCAGGTGGCCGGTCAGACCAGTTTGCCGGCACGAGACCTGGTTCTGATGGGTGACGGCTCTGGCATAATGGGCAGTTACACACGTGGCTGTAGAGCTGCCTCTCCCAGGACGTGGTTTAGGCAGGCATGCGTCTTCCTTTGAAGCGCTAAAAGTGTTCTTGGCGTTACAGGTGTAGCAGTGCTAAGCCAGCAGCTGGAACACGCTGTACAGGGGACCAACAGGATCTTCCCAGACCCTCTTCTCTGCTCCTATGTGCTTGTTGGGTACCTGTTAAATCCCATCCTCAGGTTGATACTCCGTAGCCAGGTGAAGGCGGTATCTCGAGGGAAGTCTCCCCCGAGCAGACTGGTCTCTTTTTACTAGCCTCAGCTGGCCTTGCGCATACCTGTGCTGCGGAGGGCATCCTCCCCCGGAAGGGCTGTAATGCCGGGTGTTTGACCTTTGACTGGTCCCCGTGCCCCAACAAGTTCCACTTTGGCTAATCATCAGCAGTAATTCGCCCCTTGGGCTAACTTCCTGTCCTGAACTGTTTGTAAAGCTGCCCTGTGCGACAGGGAGGCGAGATGTGTGTATAGTAGTAGAGGAAGTGATGCCTTCCCAGGAATCTGGGTACCTGGCTAGCTCAGTGCTCTCAGATGCCTCTGAAATGAGAGAGGCGATAAGATCTTTGTCATGAGGAAGGGTTTTCTGTCACTCCATTGGCTCCTTTCTGGTACTTGGGACCTGATTGCAGTGTCCTGTGCTTAGGCGTGGTTCTGGATGAGTCTGCTCAATGTGAGGTGTGGATGGTATGAAAATACAGGACAAGTGGCAGCAGGGGGTGATTCCCAAGTCTGTGACAGTGCCAGGCGGTAGCTGGAGTGCCAGTCCAAGTCTGCTGTGTCTCAGGAGCTGCTCTGAGTGATGTGACCTCAGCCTTCCAGGTTTCAGAGCCCACTGTCCCTGGCCTCCTGCCACCCTCTGAGTTGACGTCTCTCCGAGCTGCCTGACTTCCCTGACTTCGGTTTCTCTTTCCTCCACTAGTGCTGGTGGCATGTGAGTGCCTCGTCTGCCAAGAAGCCAACTCGCTGTTTGAAGAGCTTTCCAGGGACACAGGCTTCATTCGTGTCTGTAACGACCCTTCAGCGTGGATGGATGCCAGGGGCCTCCGGAATTAAACTTGTTCCAGGCGTCATGCAAAGATCTGTGCTAGTGCCTGTGTCCTCACGGAAGGAACAATAATAGCTCCACATACGGTAGGCTCCGGCAAGTGCCAACTCCCTCGATCTCCTCCAATGCAGGCTCAGGGATGGACTCCACCTTGTCCCTGTGAAGAGACTCTGCATGCTCTCAGCAGCCAGAAGGGGATTCTGCTCCCAGCTTCTTCACAAGCTGCCCCACAGCAGGACTTGCTTAGCGGCGCCTTGGGAGGATATCCGTTCACGCAGTTGTGTCACTGCAGTGCCCACTCCACGCCCACGGAGGAACCTGTGTGCGTGTTCCGTCTTCTTTGAGCTCCTCAGCCCGCGCTGTCTGAATTCACCTGGGCTCCTGGCAGACTGTTTGCTTGCTTTCCCAACTGCTCTCCCTGATCCTGTTGCGTTCCCTCTCTCACAGAGCCCAAAAAGGATGTGAACTTTGGAATGGGGTCTGTGAGCAGGCTGCGGACTTGGTGCATGTGCGAGACTGTTGCTGAATAACAGGAAGACTGGTTAATCACTGCGGGCAGCCCTTCTGTCTGGCTGCAGGGCACCAGCCTTGCCTGGGCCCTTCACCATGTTCCTCCTGCTCCCCTTTGACAGCCTGGTTGTTAATCTCTTGGGGATTTCCATAACTGTCCTCTTCACTCTGCTTCTCGTTTTCATCATTGTGCCAGCAATTTTTGGAGTCTCCTTTGGCATCCGCAAGGTTTACATGAAAACTTTATTAAAGGTTTTTCAGGTAAGTCATGTTTTCAGAATTTTCTGTGTGTTTACAGGGATCTTGTCAAGCGTGGTCATGCCAGGAAGAGAGGCTTTTGCCCCTCAGCAGAGCATTGCAGATGACTGGGGTGGAAGGTTGGTTTGTTGGTGACGTGTGCGGGTGCCAGGTGACCCGTTTGGGTCATCTCAGCTGAATGCAGTTCACTAGATCTCTGTTCCTAGGCTGTTTTTTCCCTGTAATTAATCCAGTAAGTCTTCAAGTAAAGTAGTAGGATAGTGTGGCCCATAAGTATGCAATAGTACAATAGGATCTGTAGATGTGCTGAGAGGAGGCGTGTGCTTGGATGGGTTAATGTCCTAGGCAAGGCAGAGTGCTGTTACAGTTCAATGTGGAAAGAAGCCAAAAGGGGTGTAGGGTGTGATGGGGAGCGACAAGGCTGCAATCAGCAGCCTGCTCCTCTCCAGGACATGTTTGGATGAAGCAAAAGCAGGAGGTAAGGCAGGACTTCCTGTACTGCAAGCCCTGAGCAATCTGTGGCCAGAACCCAGAGCTCTCAACACCTCTCTGTCCCAGAGTGCCGCCTGCTTATCTGCTGAGCCCAGCAGCCATGTCTGGACCTGCAGCCTCTGAGGACGACCAGCAGCCCTTGCTGACCCTCTTGGCACAGAGAGGCCAAGTGGAATTTTCCAGCTTGGGGTCATGCTGTTCCCTTGCTTGCCTTTGGCAGACTAATTTTATGGGCTGTCTCACAGCCAACGCCTCTCCTTGAAGCAAGCCCCTGGTGAGACCAGAATTTTTGCCAAACTCCTAGTAGATACAGCCTACGCCACCTTACCCTGGAAGATAAGCAAAAGGAAAAGGGGTGTCCGCTGCTTGATAGGGAGGTTTTGGGCTCTAAAATGTGCAGTTCAAGCTGCTAAAGGATTTATGGTACAGCTACTGCTGTCTGAATAAGGCTGGTCTTCCTCAGGAGTATCTCTGTACTGGCTGGCTTGGGAAGGCAGCCCTGGAGCTTGCAACGTTCAGCTCTTTAAACTCTGAGTCCTCCCCAAAGCCTGAGGTGTGAATGGGAAGACCCTGGGCTTTGTGATGTGCTTCATTAACACAGATGTCTGAAGACCTGACTTCAAATTTAGTGACTGAACTGGGAGAAAAAAATAAATTTGGTTTATCAGAAATGGAACTTTTCACCTTGTTTTCATTTTTTCTTTTTTCAGTTCAGGAACATTTAATATCAACACCTATTTTGGTGTTTAATCTTGAAACTTTTTCTGAAAAGACTTTGAAGTCTATTTCAGCTTTTATCAAAGAATGTTTGTGGTGGGGGAGAGGAGCACTCTGGCACAACGGCTCACAGATTTGGTGGAAAATTCACTCACTAGGTTTGATCATGCAGAATTGTATTTTTGGGGAGCGTTACTTACCCAAAAGATTTTCCCAGCTCTAGAGGCCAGTGTTGTGAACTGGAGGGGCAGCACTCGAGTCTGGCAGCTTGTGGGACACAGCCAGAGCTGCGGGCCCTGGGATGGCGGCTGCACATCTCCGTTGGTGGTGAGGGACACCTGCCTGGTGCTTCCCAGGTGGGAGTCTGGGTTTTCTGCTACTGCAGTCAGGATAGAGACGGGCTGGGCTTGCGAGGAACGCCTTCTCTGTGGGCTGCCCAGCTCCTGCTGGGTCAGAGCTCCTCTTCTGACTTCTCCTGGGATGGCAGTGTCTAGACAATCTTCTGCAATCCTGCAGTTCCTTCTGCTGGCAGAGGAGGCTGCTAGATGAGCCGGACACTCTATATGCAATTAGTGTTCCCACATCGCTGCCTCCTGATCTGATGCTGGCATGGGCTGAGAATGGGATGCCAGGAGTTCCCAGCGGCTTCCGCTTCTTCACAGATCCCTGATGGAGCAGGTAGCCTGGAGCAATAAGCATGTTGCACCTTTAGAAGCTTGTTCTCCCAGACCTGTATAGTGCAGAAGAGCTGAGGCTGAGAGAGTTACTTGGAGGGCAGACAGGAAGACTGGCCAGAAATCCAGCCTGCAGTTTTTGCTGTTGCCCTTGAGAATTAGCTGAGAGAGATTTCTGTGGATAACAGGTAGTCTGGGTGTGGGAGAGTGCTGTCTGAGGGTGCTTGCTGCTGCTGTTTTGGACTGACTGGTGAGCTGAGAAGCAGCAGCAGCTGTTGGCTGAATCGGGGAGGGAGAGGTCCCATCCCGTCATCAGCCTGATGTTTTTAGCAGCAGCCTGAAAACACAGTCTCTGCTTTGAGCTTGGAAGAAATGAGGGTTGAAAAATAGCACCGGTCCCATGATCAGCTTCTTGCGTTGTGATGCGGACCACCCCAGCAGGATGCATGGTCCACCCAGAAGCTGTGCAGTAGCAACCGCATGCCAGGTGCAGCAGAGCCTACAGGACAAGGAGTCTGCAGAAAATCTTGCTGTGCCATCTCACCACTGAGCACTCTTCTTCCCTCTGGCACTCCCTGCTTCCTGCTGGGTCTCTGCTGTGCAGAATGGCACACAAACTTGTGCACGTCGTGGCTGTCCTGTGCCTGTGCTAGTCACCTCCCCATCAGTCTTCTTGTCCCACTGCAGGCAGATCTCTGCTGTAAAAATGTTCCTCCCAGGCGAGTCTCTGCTTCTGCCTCAGTTCAGTTGTGTTCACTCACTCAGTTCTGTATGGTAGCCTCCTGCTTTAGCCCCATCTTCTCCCCTTAACCATGGGTTCCCTGGAAGTCAACTGTAAAACAAGGGTAGTGTATGACGCGGAGCTGCCTACAGGCCTTGTGACTCTTGCTTGTCATGTGTGTCTCTTGCAGTGGGCAACACTGAGAATAGAGCGTGGTGCCAAGGAGAAGAACCATCCATTATACAAGCCCTATGTCAATGGTGAGATCCTGCCCTGCATGGGTACATATGAAGTTCAAAATTCTTTTTGGGAGATGGGGTAAATGTGGTGTCTCTGAGCAGCTCAGGTATGCTGGGAAGCCTTTTCCATGTAGGTGGATTGGGGGGACCTATGGAGAGGTCCCTTTCCTGAGGAAGGGGAAGGAAGCACCCAGGGAGTGCTTCATTTCTAGATAGTTGGGAGGACTGGTTTATGCCCATCTGGACTGGAGAAAGGAGGGGGGTCCTGTGGAGGGCAGGCAAGTAAGGGCCCTGGCTCTCAGCTGTCTTTGAGCGGGCAAGTCGCACTTTGCTCAGAGCTGCCTGTGGTGTGTTGCAGGTATCATTGCAAAGGAGCCAACGTCACTGGAAGAGGAGATCAAGGAGATCCGCCGGAGTGGCAGTGGCAAAGCCCTGGACACCCCTGAGTTTGAGCTCTCGGATGTCTTCTATTTCTGCCGCAAAGGCATCGAGACCATCATGGATGATGAAGTGACCAAGAGGTTCTCAGCTGAAGAGCTGGAGTCCTGGAATCTGCTCAGCAGGACCAACTACAACTTCCAGTATATCAGCCTGCGCCTCACTGTACTCTGGGGACTGGGTGTGCTCATCCGCTACTGCTTTCTTCTGCCCCTCAGGTGAGTGCTGCTATGGGAATCTGCCTGCTGAGATGGTGCTGATGGCCTGTTCCCACTGCAGCAGGTGCAACTGGTCTCCAAGCCCCATGGACCCTGTTCAACATGATCAGGAGAGACGGGCTACTTGATGAGTAGGGCCTGTGGCCTGGTTTTGCTAGCGTGTAGCTTCCCTCTTTCTGCAGGATAGCCCTGGCGTTTACTGGCATCAGCTTGTTGGTGACTGGTACTACAGTGGTGGGATATTTGCCAAATGGAAGGTGAGTTTGTCTTTAAGGGAAGAGGGGATGGGAGGCCCCTGTGCAGTTTGAGACCTGATAATCCTGAAGTTTTCCTGCAAGGCCTATCTGTTCTGCCTGCTGCAGACAAGGCAGGTGGTCCTGGCATCTGTAGCCTCTCAGGAACAGACACCCTGTAATTGTAAACAAAGAGCCTAAATGTGAGCACTAAGCCTGTGGAAGAGCGCTCAGCCCTGGGCTCTGAAAGGAATAGCAACAGAAAAGAGCAAAGGCCATATTTGGGTCTCATGAGTTAAGAATCAGTGGTCGTAAGCTGATGGCAAAACCCAGGACGAGATGCATTTCTGTGGGAGAGATGTGAAGTTTCGGTTGGATCTCATGGCTGGGGCAGCTGGGCTGAGTGGCGTCATTACAGGGGAGACTGTAGAACTGGGAGGTGATGGTTTCTGTCCTGGGC